TTCTTACCTGAGTGAAATCAAGAGGCGAGTCCAGCCTCCCTTTCTGGCCATGAGACAAGTATCTCTCGCAGGGAGCCAGCAGTGTGTTTAAGCGTCCCATCAAACTCCCCCACAAGCTGGGTCACAGCTTTTAGGGCTGCTGAAGGCTCTGCCAAAGCTGCTGCAGACCCAGAGCGCAACACTTCACACTGGGGAGAGGTGCTGGTGGCAGGAGCATGTACCCCATAAAAAATAGAGAGGTCCAAGGTATTACTTCTTGGCCCCTCAACTTGTTCAATTGCATCCATTTTTTTTGTATAAGATTTTCAGAGGACAGCAGATGTTGCCAGGAGTCCTTACACACACCACACAAGTGAATCAGAACTTGAACTCCCAGCTAAACTGTTGCCACCGCTGGAGGCTCGGACAGTGGCTGTACAAAAGAATTTAAGGTCACTCATGACGAGGGCATGCACTCAGCCCCCCACTTTCTGCCTATCTTCTAAACCAAGAGCATTGCAGTGAAGATGAGCTGCCAGCACAAAATGAGTGGGCAACTCTTCCAGACATACCTTCATCATAGCAAAAGTGAGAGGGAAGAAATGCAGAATTTGGGGGGATTTTTAAGTAGCATGAGTTTGTGCTTTCCCTGATTAGAAAAATGCATTAAAAATACATAATTTGGAGCTCATCTAAGACAGAAGGAAAGAAGGTTCATAATTGCAGTTATGTGAATTCCAAATTTTAAAGCACATTTAAGATGAGTGAGCAGGAATAAAACCTGTTCTGGTGAGCCCTGCCCCTCAGGAATTCCCATTTGCTGGGAAAGAGGTAAACTTTGTTATCAGGGAAATCAGTCTCTTGAAGGGAGAGCAATTTCTGAGTGTGAAGCATGACATTCCACTCTTAAATCACTTATATCCCATCTTTTTGTGATGCAATCATGAATTCTTTTTTCCTGCATTTGTAATTAGAGGATAGAACAGATGGTCAGGGCTTAGTTCAGGGTGATAATCCATGAAGATAACCTACAGAAAGCTGCTGCTACAGTGGTTGCTGCCAAACAACTGATCGTTCAATGCTTTGTTCAGGCTTTGAGTGCTGGCAGAAGAAGAACTATCACAGTTCTTCACTACCTGGAGGTATGAGGGGTAAGAAATCACACACGAGTTTGGGGCATGTATTATTACTATCCCTGTGGCTCAAGGAACTTGAATGGTGTGATATAGGGAATGCATGGGGCAATCCTGGGAAACAGCCTGGAGTTCTTGCTTCCCAATAGCTGCTTCTGCAGAAGCACTTACTGCATCCCAGAGCACATGTCTGCTTGTCAAAGTAGATGAAATTTAGCTGAACAGGTGGCCTGATTGCAGAGTAGAGTTTTCTATCAAGGAGTGATTGCAAAATATCCATTTCACTCTGAATTCATGTCTTCACTCATTTTGCAACAAATTTCTCAAAGCATTTAGAATCCTAGAAAAATTTTTGCTGGACAGGACCTATGGAGGGCATACAACTCAAAGCATTTGTCACAGAAGGCCAAACCTGTAGGTCCCTTCAAACTCAAACTCAAACTCAAACTCAAACTCAAACTCAAACTCAAACTGTTCTGTTCTGTTCTGTTCTATTCTATTCTATTCTATTCTATTCTATTCTATTCTATTCCATTCCATTCCATTCCATTCCATTCCATTTCCATCCTTAGACTCCAGCAGAAGGCTCCTGCTTCAGCTAGTCCACAATTATGACCTATTTTTTTTCTAAAAACAGAGGTCAGGATAATTAGGTGTCCTATAGCTTATTATCAGCAAAAAGTTATGTTAAACCATAAAGCAAACAAGGCAAGAAGTTGTGTGTTCATTATTTCTGATTATGTCTTTGACCTGAATCATATCAGGCTACTCCACAAATGAATCTCAGCAGAATCCATGGGTCAGCCTCAGGAAAGTTCAGATCTGCATTCAGTCTCTCTGTGCCTCTGGAAACCCATAATATCCTTTCCAAAGATGCTTTGGCACTTCTGCTGCTAATAACTTTTTCTGAAATCCCTCTCCATCACTGGAATTCAGCATTGGAGCATGACCTCATATCTTTGGATAGCATTTCCATGTGGAAACAGTACCTCCATACACCAGGAGCTCAGAGTTTCCTCACACCTGAGTGGCTAGAAACTAGCTGTGGAGTTGTATCAAGTTTAGTAGAGGAGACGTAAGACTACTGAGGGAGGATGTGGAGTTCCCGCGACCATCTCCTACAAGAGCAGTGAGGATTTCTGTGGGGAAAATGGAGCCCACCACAGATACAACCTACTCAACAACCTACTCACCAAAGCGCTCGTGTGGGTCCCCTTTCCGTCATTCTCCTTGGGACCCGGCCACACAGTACCACCACGAATGACAGGTCCAAGCCAAATTCTTGTATGCTGAGCTCCTGTATGTTTCAACAGGAGCATCCCATAGGAGGGGCCATACATTAGGTACAACAAAATGAGCAGAGGACAACTGATTGCATACAAATTAATATAAAGTAAAAATACCACTGTTTCAGTGTTTTTGTCTGTACGTAGTAATGTCAAGGGGCTTTGTTAACAAAAGCTGCTTACGCGGAAGTTTGAATTTGAATAGGGTTTGTTTGATTTCTGCACCTCACCACTTCCTGGCTGACTGCTCAGTATCTGCCAGCGTAGGCATTATGTGATGCTCTGCTTGTCCCCAAAGCTGTCAGTCAAGACAGAGCCTGGGCTGAGAAACGATTAGAGCTCAAATAAATATTCGCAGGATAGTCTGGACCGTGACCGCTTCCCTCCTACTCTCACCTTCACCCACCTACACACACGCTGCTGCTGCCGCCTTGGTGCAAAGTAACGCTGCAGGAGGAGCTGAGGTGCTGCTCTCCCTTCTACACACACCTAATAAGACATTGTGCTTTTGATGAGTGACCCTTCCCTGGATGCAGCTAATGTATGTGCTGAAGTCTGGTGACATTTTTAACAATGAACCCGCTGAATTACAATTCAGGGAGAATTTACTTGAAAATTTACATAATGTAGCCAGGAGAGATTTTTAACTGCTTCCCCTTGTGCATAAGGGGAGAAAAAAAGGAAGAAAATTAAGTAACAGCCTAATTGGCTTTTATAATAGTCTATGGGGAGACATGCGGGCCGGTTCTCTGCCTAGCTACAAAGCTTGGTATGTGCTGTAACCATGGGAGGCAATATTACAGGCATGACAGGACAATGATTTGGTTTTTCAGCACTGAGGATCTGAAAAATGAAATACCTCCAGCCGGGGGGGGGGGGTTTTCTGCTTGAGGAAGACCTGTCATGCTGGTTCAGAGGACTCAGGTCAGGCTTCTTTTGGAGGGAAAAATTGAGGTTCTGATCTGCCAGCGCACCACCTCAAATGTGGATCACAGCTACTGGGAGGAACGGGATCTGCCTCTTCCACTACCACATTCATTTTAATCAGGGAGTGGCTTGCAATAAAATGGATAACAGAGAGGATGACAAGGCTAGGGCTGATGAGCCTAATGCTTTCTGCTCCGTCTGCTCCCTGGGCTGTATGGCCCAGGCGCCTGCTCCTCTGCTCCAGAGCCAGAGGAAGATGGCACAGCAGCGAACCTGTCTTGGTTCAGTTCCCACTGCCTCAAAATTGCTGCATTTTGGGATAGTACCATAGTACCAATAAGAGAGAGCTGCAAGGAAGCAATGACGGTTCCTTTTTTTTTAATTGAATTTTGTCTTTTAAAAAAGCACCAGTTAAATCAATGTCAATTACATTAAAACATGCAAGTTTCAGGTCTAATCACTTTCCCTCACCCTCTTTCATTACCCAGACACTTCAGGGAGAACTCCATTGATTAGCTCAGCAGCAAACACTGACTGAGACCAAAGCCAGGAACAGGAGGGAAATGCCCCTCTTCCATGGCTGAGCTGGAGACAGCGGCAGTGAGCCCTGGGAGCAACACTGTCACCTGCCAGTGCTTTCCAGCCCTAAGCCATTTGCCAGAACTGGGAGAGTGTCAAATTTGGTCTCTCTTCTCCAAAGGCTCCCTAACACGTTTCAGTTCCTTCCTAAACCATGGCTAAATGACTGATATAGGGTGCCATAGGGATAAACGAAGCTAGAAAGGGTTTGGAAAAATTTTTCTCTGATCTTCACTTCCCAAAATGATTCAACATGGAAAAACGTTGTCCTTCTGCCTACAGCATAGACACTGCCCTCTACTAGCAGAGCCCTGGCAAAGCCCTCTCCTCCGTGCCCAGCATCCCTGCTCCCCTACCATGCTGAATCACAATCCTGAGGACTCACATCTCCAGGATTTTTATCAAGGTACTCTGGCTTCACTCCACTGTGTCTTATTATATAGGATAAAGCCATTAATCAACTGTGTGTCTCCCTCCCCCTGCTGCTGCAGACAGCAAATGTGATCAGCTACGAGCCTGAGCCTTGCTGCTATCCATCTTTCCATGCATGGTGTAGTGGATCCGAGCAGAGGATTTCATTACAGCCACGATCATACACTGTGCTGCATGTCCTCGGCTGCCATGGAACTCACCATCTTATACATGAGGTGAGTTCAATAGAAGGGGTGTGTATACACAAGACTGATCACACAACACTACTCTGTAGCTTTGATTTTAAAATTATGCTAGACAAATTGGACTAAAAAGAAAGTTATTTAGTATTAAAAACCATTATTAGCTTTATTATCCGATGCAATCAAAACAGTTCCTTCCACATCATTCAGTAATGATGAACTAATTCCAAATCAGAAATGGGGCTATTAGAAAAAAAGCAGACGACAGCATTAAGGCTTAACCTGGCAAACTGACTTGTATTCAGGTCTATCTTTTAAGGACAGGAGGCCAAACTAAACCATGGGTCCTATTACAGGTATATTTATAGGCCAAGTCAAAGCAGCTGTGACTGCAGATCACACTGCATAAACAAGTAGCCACTTAGGTAGCACATCGCCTTCGCAATTATTTGGTCAATACAACTAAGAGTAATGCCTACAACATGCACTTAGGACAGCAAGAGCACTTTTGCATGCAAATACAGACTTGTTCTCCTTAAAAACAACCAGTAGCAGCTGCAAGCAAATGCCTCGACAGGATTTTGTCGTATTTAAGGCATATTTATGGCTGCAGTGATCATTCAATTTTTAAACCAATCTCTTTGCCTCTCAGTAAGAAGTGATTGAAACCTTTACCTGCAAATGCTGCATTGGTATTCAAGCAGGTGCTTTACTCATTGCTTTTATAAAGTGCAATTATTTAGGTTGAATGCATGGATTAGACAGGCAACCTAGTGGGGCAGGACTGAGGAAGATGCTGACTGCGGCCAACTGGAGCATCTCCCTGAGTCCCACCCCACCAATATGGCAGCTCATCTGCTCCAGAGACACTGCAAGGCGAGGGCATCCCTGTCCCCGATGTCCTCTAGCCATTTGGAAAGGACTATGTCAGCCTGCTGTAGGTATTACTCTTGAACTGGCAGGCTAAGCTATAGTTTTTACAGTTAAACTGTAATTTTCAAATTCCATTTTTTTCTCTCCAGTACCACCCTTGCATTGCAAGAGATGAGTCCAGGCAAGCATTCTTCACTGAGGAGCTGGGGTTTTTTGACATATGCTATGTTAATGGGAGATAACTGTGGAGGTGGTTTCCCACCTCAGACTTTTTGGTTAGGGAGGAATAAAACTATTTAACTCATTGTTTTTCAGTCAATCTATTAATTCTTTGCCAGTCTAATACCACCATAAATGTTCTGCACAGTGTGTACAGACTCACAGCGGGTGTTGCTGGAGGTTTGCACTGTGGGTGGTTTCTGCTCTCCTGTTGTGTGTCCTCCATTTAGCCTTAGCCCCGTTTCTCTTGGGCTGTAGGTGATGCTTTCTTCCTGTTCTCCCTCTTAGCATCACTTTTCATTGAGGCCTGGGGAAGTTGCTAGTCTTTGATAGCCCATACACAAGTTCTGCTTCCTGAGGGTTTCCAAGAGGCAAACCACCAAACCTTTCAGTGATACTCAGGGATGACAAAGGAGCAGCAGCAGACCAGCAGTTATCCCAAGCCAGAATAGAAGCATAGAATCAGAATGGTTTGAGTTAGAAGAGACTTCAAAGATCATCCAGTTCCAACCCCCCTGCCATCAGCAGGGACAACTTCCACTAGATCTGGTTGCCCAAAGCCTCATCCAACCTGGCCTTGGACACTTCCAGGGAGGGAGCATCCTGAATAGACGGCCAAGCAGGGCAAGCAGATGGTACCTTGGGTCATAGATGCCCATTTCCATTCAGAGCTTTCCCAAGTGATGTGCTGGAGCTGTTGTCCTTATGTACCATGCAGAATGGAAAGCAGATGCAAAGTCCTGCACTCACCCCTGCTCTTATGTCCCTGAATTGCCTTCCTGTGCTCTGTCTGTACCCATAGAAACTACGGGATAATTGAGGTAATGATGGAAAGCATTAACAGAATCTAAGTTAAAATGATGTTAAAAATAATACAAATGATCTTTCTATATCTAATTGAAGACACAGGCTCTCTGAGTAAACAAGCTGAAGCAACAGTTGCTACAGACTAGAAAAAAAATGTACTCCAGAGCAATTCTGTCTTAGAAGTGAAAAAGGAACTGAACCAGTACATAAAAATGTTAATGCTGGCCAGGTTAAGCCACCTCCTCTGCCTACCGGACAAAGAAAAACCTGCTTTGGGGAGCTCTCATCACTCTTTTGCTTCACAGGTTTCCCCCTGCCTTCCTGTGGATGAAAGTTAGACTCCTACTGAACCAGGTGGATTTTGTTCTGACCCACGCTGGTTTGCAGATGAAAAAAACATTCTGCATTCTTTTCATGTTTTGTTTTTTTCTGGGATACCTTACTGCCAGCTCAGCCATCTGTGTGGCAGTAGTGGAAGCCTCTCCAGAGGGGAGAGAGAAGATCATGTTTTTGTCCTGTAGTCTCCTTTTTTGACCTTATGTAGATTAGCCATGCAACATGCAGGAGTCAGGTTATCCCTCATGTGCCGGATCACCCACTCACCTTGTCCCCACACTTTGCTTCCTTCTCAGACGGAGGCCACAGAGCTTTGCACATGGAGCACCAGCTTCCCTAGTCCAGAGCCAGGACTTCTGCATGCATGGAGCATGCACTGTGGGATGAAATCTCGTGACCTGTGCCTAAATCCTTATCTGTAAAGTGAGGATCCCAATTCCAGGCCATGCAGGGAGGAGGAGAGTCCCTTTGTAGAGCCACTTTGAAGTTGTGGCACTCCATAGCAGAGCCCTGGTCTTTGGGATCCTGCACTTTTCGCAAGTTCCTCGGAGGTCACGACTCTGGCCCCGATACCTGGATGATTTATGCATCCGACTGGTCTCGAAGTTTCTGGGGGCAGGGGGTAGCCTTTGCTATTAATCCAAAGGCATCCTCTCCTTCATTTCTTTAGGCTGCTAATGTTTGTTCTTCAAAGCCCCCCTGTGAAGCTTTCTTTTTATGGTTTTTCTCCCGTTTTGCATCTGATTCCTACATGCTTGTTCCAGATGGTGAGCTTTTGAAGACCTGCATTATTAACATCTCCTTTTTTCTTCCTTTTTAAAAAGCCATTTAGTGGAATGTATCTGAACAACACAGAATTGGGAATATACTGCTCTGTGTGCTGCAATGTCCCACTGTTCAGGTAACATCCCTTAGATTTCACAGCATCCTTAAAATGCCATAGCTGTGGCAGGAGGGGCTTGGTCTTTTCGTGAGAGGAATGGGATGTGTGGGTCAGAAGAACAATCCTTTGGTGCCAGAGTGCTATGTATAATATTTCCAGGACACCTGTGGTGATACAGGTACATGGTGTGCCCTTTTCTTGAGCATATGAGTGTCTTCAGTGGCCAGCAGACAGTAGTTGCTACATTAGGGTCTGCCTTTTTCTCCTGCCACGCACGCTGTCCTTTTTGATTGATAATTTTCTGTTTAAGAAGTCCTTAAGCCATAAGTTGCCACGAAACATGTGTGTTTATGAGTGGATATCACTCAGTTTACTCTGTTCTTGTGCTCTTTCATGGTCACTTTCTGTCACTCATGCTGCTGGGCTAGAGACTTTTGGTCTACCCTGGTCTAGATACTGTTGCATTCTTACTGCTGGGTCTCTCATACTGGAGCTGAGACCTCCTCTTCACTCCCACCCCCTTCTCATTCCCTAAATTAAATTCCACTATTTTTACCTTTTTGGCTACATCTACTTTTTAAAAGTAGGATGCAAATGCCTGAACTATTAACCTCCGTGCTCTTTGCGATTCTATATATTTTGCTACTTCATTAAAGTCTAAGTAAAAGGAAATAGAGTGCCTTGGAGTAGGATGTGCAGAGGGTGTTCTGTTCTCTGTAACTGAACCAGAAAAGACAGTTCCTCATATTTTTGATCTAGAAAATAGCCTTTATATACTCCTGACTGAGAGTTCAATGGAATATGACTGATACGCCCATTTTTATGAAGACTTTGAAGGATGCATCACAGATCAGAACTTCAAATGGGAAGCTGAAGAACAAGAAATCTGGATAGTAAGAAAGGAGGAAAAATGTAGTGGCTGTATTAAAAATAAACCAAAACTAAGCAATTGAATGGTAAAATTGGAGGCAGATAATTGTGAACAGTTAAGGTTTCCTTTGGACAAGTACAGAAAACTTGTTATGCAAATGAATATTTGCTTAAATGTATTTTTTTCCGTAGAGGTTTGCTAATAAACACTTTTAAATAAATGTATTTCAGAAGGTAGTGCAGCATTGCAGAATATCCTGAAGACAAATACAAAACCTAAAAATATCTCTGGAAAATTCAGATAAATTAGACAAATTTTAAATGGCTAAGCTGTGGAAAAGTTCTTTCAGTTCCTTCAAATGTTCCTTCAATTTAGGCATCCTTTATATTAGACAATAGATATTGACAGGCCAACATGAAGAGAAATGAGCACTGGAGGGAATTGCTTCTGCTGCTAAACTAGTAACAAAACAACGATACAACCAAACAGTCATGCCGCTTTTTGCAGTATCCAGCTCTCAGAGAATACATGTATTTTTTTTAAAGCACAAAATAATGCTGAGCCTTACAGACTGATATAGGAAAATAATAATTAAAAAAAAAAAACCAAACACAGAAAAAATCTTTTAAGAACATTTAAGATTATTAAATGTGCAAAATGGTCTCAAAATATATTTTCCATTAATGCCTTATGTTGCACATACACTAACAATGAGGGAAAAGAATGGTATTTTATAAGAAATACATTCATCATTTTTATTTCTTTCTTTTTCAAATGCATTAGATCATTAGCTACAGGTAAACACAAAGCATTTCCTCCTTTCTTTCAAAGTATATGTGTGTATACATTTTTACCAGAATTTATTACCTTCTGCTCCCAAATATTAATTTGAAAGAGTTGAAAATACATGGAACAAACCCCTAACCTTTATAGATAGCAAATTGTGGTGCTTTAATGAAATCTCAAACCTTCAGCGAACCATAAACCTACAGCTGAGATTCATACAGCAAAAAGCACTTTTTAGAATTATCTGGATTCCATCCAGGACGACTGAAATAGGGATCAAAGTAAATGACATGTGCTGGAGGAATGGTGTGTCGAAGGCTAATCTAATGCATATGTTTAGGGAAAGTCAATTTATCCATAAATTAAGTGGTGAAATACTTCAAAGGACAAATATGATCTCAAACAGCAATATTTTGGGGTACTAAAATGTTTCTATTAGAGAATCTAAGTGATATTACTGTTAGTAAAACCACAGAGACCATTTCTGTTGAGAGCTAGTTTAACAGCTCAAAAGATTGATCCTTTAGCAGTGGAAAACATCTACAATAAACTTAAGTATTGTGAGCGGCATGTAAGGGACAGAGTCAGTCGGATGCAAAACCCACATAGCATTGAAGATCTTGCTTGACGCTACAGGATTTCAGAGAGGATCCTTGTATCTGTGTATGAATAAGCAGAAGGGTCCCTGTGTCAGAAAATGAAGAGTTCTGATTGAAATATTTTGAAAATAATAATAATAAAAAAACCAGCACAGGTATGTCAGGGAAACTCAGAAGTGGTGTACGGACATTTGGGTTCCCCCAGGTTTGGATTTGGGAATCTGTGGCCAGCAGGCACAGTGCTCAGATGGCTGTGTAGCAGGGGTGGCAGAGAGCCCTCTTTGCCTGGAGCAGAGTAGGCCTGGAGCCCTAAATACCTTCTCATGCAGATGCAGAGCTGCCAACCGCAATCCCTTCGGTGCAGCCTCCCTCTGTACTCTCTGATTTCTCCTTGGTTCTAGGGAGGGAAGAAGGTAGGAAAGCATTTCTCATGGGTCTTCATGGATTGATGTAATGGACTGAGCAATAGCTTGCACAAAAGCAAGCCTTTGGTCACTCTATATTTGCAAATTCTCTTTTATTTCCACATTTACATTGCTCAAAGACAGCACTGCACAAGTAGTTATAAAATGCATGTTGAATCACAAATGAATCCATGCACTGTTCTTTGGGTTGGATTTTTTAAACTTTTTGTCCAGGTTGTTTGTCTCGTCTTTCTAAAAAGTATTGCAAGTAAGATTTTCAGATTTTTCTTCACTTTATTAATATCTCATCAAAATGTACATGATATATGCTAGATATTTTGCTTTAAATTCTGTATTGACTCATGGACTAATCCCCTTGATGGCAAAAAAAGCTGCTGCTGGTGCCGGTGTCTCCATCCACCACTAGGTGCCAGTAAGAGCATTGAGTTTGGGAAACTGGGCTAAAACGGGGGGAAATCGGGGGGAAATCGGGGGGAAACGGCTGCGGTGGGTCTCCAGACCATTTATCTTAGTGGTTTTAATTTCTCACTCTAACTTACACTAGGTCACTTTTTGCTAGAAGAAAGCACTTACTGCTATCAAAACTTGCACAACTTTAAATAAGAAGGATTATCTCATTCCTGTTCATTTCATTCGGGATTTGCTAAATCCCAAAAATATTTTCTGATCATATTTTCCAACATACTCTAGTTTTTAATATGTAACCAAGCAGGGCTGATAATTCTGGATGTGAACAGGAGGCACCCACAAGTTGACAATCCATAGTACTGTTTCTGACGGCTGCGATTATCTCTCTGGAAAAGCAGATCTTTGTGCTGTGAGGATTTGTCATCGGTTCAGTGACAGTTTCAGCAAGGCTCTGTTTGATTTACCAAATTGTTTTGATGGCTGACTGCAAGCTGGAGCCATTGTCACATGTGATTCTGGTCCTGTGGGCCAACCCAGCCATTTTCCATACTCATTTTCCATACTTAGTTTCTTCTTGTAAATTCTCTTCTCTGAGGTTGTGCTGCATTGGGTCAGGCTTCGAACTGCAACTTTGCAGGTATAACTCAGCTGAACAATGTGCTCAGTTGTTGGAAGAACCTTTTTTCAAGCTTTATAAAATGCCAAACTCTCAGTGCAATAGAAATGGTGAGGCAAAACCTCCTGTTGTGGGCTGATCAAGCATTCCCTTTGGAAAGGAGGTTCCAGCAGCTTGATGCCACTGAGAAAACTTCTACTGTGCCAAATATTATTAATAGTAGTACAACACAAGGATGAGGAAAAAAGCCAAGGTTCTTATTAAAACCAGACTTTTTGGTAACATCTCTGTTATTAATTAACAAGAAGATCTGGTTTCCACTATAGCTCTGAAAAGAAGTACAATTCTGGGATTGGATGGCCATTGTTTTCTGAGGCTTATGGCACTTGTGGCAGAGATGAAAATAACACATTCATGAGATGAACATATAACTTATTAGGATCAACTAGAACTGAAGTTGTCTGCAAACAGGTATGTTTATTTTGGAGGTGATACCCAGAGACCCAAATCTTAACAAATAAGTGGGTTTTGTGCCCACAAATGAAAAAAATAAACACAGCAGTGAGAATTGTGGTATCACTGGAACTATTCTGTCTTGCTCCTTGGTATGAAACACATGAGTAGAGTTCGAAGTATCAAATATAGGCAGTCAGTCTGGGGTGAAGAAAATTGTGTGGCTGGGGAGAGTAGTTGTGTAAGTATAGCCAAGGGCTTGAGTTTAGACAGAAAATTTATTCAGGTGAACTGCAGTATGTGTCAGCAGACGGTAGAAGGGACTTTGGGATTTAGTCCATGCATTTGTCCCATCACAAGTTCAGTTCTTCCTAATTCAATCCTGCTGGACGTTTGCTGAAGCTGTACTTAAAATATGCAGTGATGGAGGCTCCACAACCTTACTAGGTAATGAGTTGTAACATTCATGTCTTCCTACTATTGGTTAGACACTGAGGAAAAACACTAAGTTTGCGTTGTAGCAGTTGAAGCTTACTACTATTTGCCCTGCGTGGCAGTGGTGGTGCCCTGCAACTTCACAGCTATCTGCTATGGGTTCTCTTATTTCACAGAAGTCACTCTTTTTTTCTGGAAAGCGATTTTGACTCTCTCAGTCTTCTCTTTTCTAGATTAGAAAGAGCTAGTTCCTTCAACTGTTCCTTTTTATGTGGTGTTTTTTAGAGCGCCGATCCTCTTGTTGCTCTATTTTGCGCTCCTTCCAATTGATCCTTTTCCTCCTTGAAGTGCAGTGCAAAGCTGGACATAGCGCTGCAGCCGGCGTAGCCTGCATCGGAGATCAGAGGTCAGAGATAGCGTTCCTGCCCTTACACCTTTGTCTTTCCCCAAACCATGACCCCTACTTGTCTCAGGACCTGCTGTAATACTCAGGTCTTTTTCTAAAGAACTGCCACCCCTAGCCATTTCTTCCCAACTCTAAGTCTGTGCTGTTTATTACTTCTGTTAAGATATAAATGTATGTAATTGAGCTTAACAGATTACACCTTGGGATTTTTTTTGTGTCTATTTTTCCAAACTGTTAAGATTGCTTTCTATTCTAATACTGTCCTCCAGTGTGCTTGCAGCCCCTTCTAGCAGGATTAGGTATTATCTGCAAACGTACCAAGCATTCACTGCAGTCCATTATTGTGATACGAGTTCATGTTTGCTGTAATATCCAGCAATTACCTTTGAAGAAGCCCAGCTGAAACAACCTTCCAATTTTATAATGAACCACAGATAGCTCTTCTGAGTCTATTTTTTCCCATCAGTAATCTGGACGGGGGGGTATCCTCAGCTGACCTGTGAGAAGGACCTACACTGACTGTCTCAATTCACTTGAAATGTTCATTATGTATTGAGAATTCTAGATCCTCCCAGTTTTTTCATATACTTTCTGGCATTAGTACCTTTTTGCTTCCTTTTCTGGGATTTGCTTTTTTGGGGGCATATATTCACCCACAGGCTAGAGGTGATTACTCCAGGATGTATTTATAGTCTCTCCCCACACACACAACTCAACGGTGAATTCACCATACAAGTTTCTTCATTTGGGATAGTGCAGCAGGTACCAGCATAATGTTGGTCCATAGCTGCAAAGGTAATCATGGTACATAATTCCTGTTGCACTGTGATGCCCATATAGGCCTTGTGTTTGATAATGGTCCCACACCTTCTGGGCAGAGGTTCTGTATCAACAGTGTTTCATTAAACTTCAAACCAGGCTCTGATCAGTGAGAAGTGGATCTCTGTGCCTTACAGAACATCTTTCACTGCTCATACAACAGGCTTGTGAAAAACTCACACGCTTTTAATATAATTCAAATTTTAGTACTTATGCCACTGCAGCTTTGCTTTCCAGCTATTATCATTATTATTATGATAAAATACATATTTTTGCGGTAACTCTTTGGTGGTCTGCCTCTTCATGGCTAATGTGATGTGTTGATCTGTTTATTGTATGTTTTAAATTGAAAAAAGAAATCTATGCAACAGTTCACATTCATAACTATCACCATTAACTGTATTGAGGCTGCTGAAATTAAGTGCTCTCCTGAACCTGACTTTGCCTATGCTGAACAGTAGCTGTAGTACTCAAGAATACAGATGGACTTGACTGATCATTCCAGAGCTTCTACTTCTGTAAAATCATTGCATCCTTCTAAAGGGAAGCAAAAATAGCATGAATCTCCAAATAAGGTTTGAGAGGGTTTTTCCCTGATGAGAGAGACCTTTAGCCAAGCCAGGTGACTTTCTGCGAACCCATAAAAGCAAAGTCCTGAAGAAGGGCCTAATTAAAACTACTCCAGGCAACAGAACCAGTGGAGACATGGAGTCTTTCTTCTTTTGAATCCATGACTTTAATTTTGTGTCCAATAGCAGAGCTGAAGTACAATTTGCCCCAGGAACTACCCCTTACAGAAATAATACGATAATAATGTAACTATCTGTGTAACGTCTCCAGACCTCTGTTATCACTTGTGTATTTCAGAATCTGAAAACAAAAATGAATGTGAAGTTTACTGTATTTGGGGGGAAAAAATCAGCATCAAAAAACATGTTCAGTAAAGTAATGCTTTTGTTGAAAATATGCCTTGTCTGTTCTTCCTTGTACAAGTTTGTAAATACTTCTGTACCACGGTTTGCTGTAACAGGAAAACAAATAATATGTTTGTTAAATTGAGCTTTCCTGCTTTCAGGTTTTTTCCAGAGAAAATAATCTCTGAGTCAGAACATCAGCTTCCCTAAACTGGCTGGGTTTAAATGCTTCCCTGCTGAGAGTTACTAAGCAACATCTCATTTGGCTTTACCTATAACAGTCTGTTTCCATTCTCCCCACTTTGGTTGCCTCAGTAATAAAAAGGGTGTGTTCATTTACTAGTGTAGTCTTAAAACTGTTTAATGTCTTCAGAAAGCAGACCTCTACTGCACTCAATTTACTTTTGCTCCTTCTGTTTTGGAGCTCTGCAGTTTCTCATTTTCCTGTACTTTCTACAGGAGAACTGTACAATTTCATAACTTTTAAAAACATCATACAAGGACAGTGATTACTACAGCCAACATAAACCAGAATGGCACAAAGGCCACCAGAGGTGTGAAGCACCATGAATGAAGCAGACACCTCCTGCTACTGGTTTTATGTAGTGTCGTAGGTGCTGACGATCATATTGTCATCAGAAGTGTCTGCTTGCTGTGTCTGTGTCTGTGCTGCATCACACTCTGCCATGCAGAGATGCCCTTGCATCACCTATTGCTATTGCCTGCCTGCTCTGACCAGGATGTATGGGCCCAGCCTGCTCAGGTCTCTGCTCAGGTGGTGCAGAAATCGCTGTCCTCACATGCTGAGAATTCATGCCCCACCCCCATCCTGATATCCTTTCATTCTCTGGTCGCTTTTTTTTCTTAAAATCTATTGCACAGCTACTGGAAAGGGGGGTTGGTCCTTACAGGCATTCTTTAGTCAGGCAACCCCTTGCCCTCTCCTCTCCTCACCTTTCATATCAGGAGAGGGTTGTCTCAGACAGGAGCATGACTAGAAATTGTGCTCAGCCACGTGCTGGTGGAGAAGCCAGCACCTGCCTGAGGACAGTGACTTTTGGCTGGGATACTAAACTGAAATACTCTTTGTTTCTGCAAATGGAAGAAAGTAGGAAGAGAACTGGAAAAATGCCTGTTTCTTATTGGTCCCCACAGATACCAGGTCACATTGACACCTTCTGAGGATGAGAATGAATTCCATACAAACAAAATAGATCATGGAGTGGGAAAAAACCCCCTAGTATCCACAGCCTTGTGCGCAAACCGTGCTTGGTTTAGTACCTTGATATACATGGTTGGTGGAGACCAACTCTTAGTGAACTGGCAAGTCAGTAACTGACAGAGGAAGCTTGCCTGAGCAGAAAGCGCATTTATTTTACACCTGTAAAGAACATTGTATGCAACTGGACATTTGGGCTAAGCAGCAGCTGGTGCCTCCTCACTCATACAGCAGGATGACCTGAGGAAAGAGTCCTGTAAGGCTCTGGTTTAGCTTGTGCAGTGGTAATTGCAGATATGTAAATATATGAACAGACCCACATCTTCAAGGACAGCAGCTGGCCTGCACTATACTGATACGCAACAAAAAAGACAGCATAAAACACAACTCTGCTGCCCCAGAGAAACCAGACACTGGGCTGAGCAACCTTGTTCTGCTTATTCATTTAAAAATGGAGGAAAGAGGAAGGTTTGGCTTTCACCACGTGTGTAAAATCAGAGTAATGGCCCGTTACCTTTCAGTGTGACTGTGTATTCCACACTTTGGAGTAGCTATACTGAGAGGTATTTGAATATCCTGCCCCTTACACTTCACTGTAAATCTAAAAGTGTTTAGATGTCTTTATGTACCCATGTGTACATATCAGTAGGGGAACAGGGGAAATTATTTTGCTTTTCAAGTATGGCCAGTAATAAATTTGGAATAAAAACCAAAACCAATAGAAACCTTCTTATCACTCCCAGCCCTCCCCACTGCAGGCAGTTTGCACCTCTTCCATCAAAACAGAGCCATACAAATGGATGATGCAGGACTGAGCAGAGAAAAAGGGAGGGGGTAGGTAAGGGAGGACTGAATGGAGGAAATGGGTATGAACTTCTGGAATTAGCTCTTCTGATGCTTTTTTTTGGCAATGTCTGACTCTTTCTCTTATGTACTCTGCTGTATCAGATAATGGCTGGAACTGGTTGCACAGCAATTTCAAGTAGTGTGGTGGGGATAAGGCAGGGGTTTATTACCTGATCCATCTTTTCAATACATTATCACTTGTGAAAAAATTATATCAATCAAATGGGTCACTCCTCAGTAGTCCTTTATGGAATGGCAAATTTTACAGCCTTTTTCTATTATTTGTCTTACAGTACAAGATGGAGGAGAAGGACCATGTTAATTTGGGTACAAGATAATTATCTCTTGAGCAGAGCATTATTATTAGGTTAACAATTAATTTTGAGGATGTGCCAAGATCTGCATGTGTAAAACTGCAAACTGTCTGTGTCTTTAGTTTTACTGTTCTCTCTGCTGGCTTTATTCCCTATACATCAGGTCAAACTTCCATTTTTCACTTTTAAGATCTATCATAGCATGGTCCCACCTTTTATTTTGTCTCAGACATGCTGATTGTACTGGCCTGTGTTCTCCCAGTAACATCCACCTTTGTCAATTTAAGGTCAAGTTTTCTTCAAATACATTTGTGCTTTATCTTGGGCTGCCAAAACCAGAGGAGATCCATCTAAGGCTCTGCAAGGCCACTTAGTTACCCTGCATCTTCCTGTCCTCCTTCCTGAAAGTCGCATTACTCGGTATGCACATAGAGCATGTCTATGCAACTGGTGGATTTGGACAGCTAGGATTACACCAGCCGTAATGGTGCCACTGTTACCTTGTGCTACATGCATCTGCCAGGGGAATCCCTGTGACATTTCTCATCGTGTATTTGAATTTATATCCCATGATGATGTGTTTACACAAACTAATTTTATGTCTATAACCAGATCTGTTGACATCCTCATGTGATGTAAACTGATGGACATTTAAGAGCTATTTGGGACAAGGAACTTCATTGTCTTCTCTGTCTGTGGTACCAATCACGGCAGGACAGATCCTAGCTAAAGGCCCAAAGTGTTACAAGATCGTGAATAATAAAGACCAATAATAACAGAAGACACTATTAAAGAGTATCATAGGCTACAAGAACTGACTCATGTATCTGCACTGACTTTGTTCCACCACAGCGAATAAAGATCAGTTGCTTCTCTGAGCTGAATATACTCTGCAGGCAACTTCACATCTAAGAAGGTTTTCAACATTGTTATTCCATTAATTAGTTTCAAAGATGATACTTTTTATCCCATTGTGTTTTTAAATAATCTTTTTATAAATCCTAATTGCAGTTTCTACATAATTCTTAAGAGATTTTAACATCTTAAATAAACTATTTAAAGACTTTCTTAGTCTTTGCAGCATCTCTACAAGGCAATAATTATTCTCAATTTTACTGAGGGAAGACTTGATGAGAATTTAATTGACTTGCTCAAGACTACAAATTAAGTTTGCAGCCAAGACAGAATTAGACTCTGCATGGCTCCTAACAGCGTCCAGATCTTCAGACCCTGCTTTTTCTAAAACTTGTTTTGGTACTCAATTGTTTGGGGGGGAGAATTCTTGAGAAAGAGGAAGGAAAATTAGCATATGTTTTTTCCAGTTGTGATATTAAAACCAAAGCTAAGACAACTAGGGCAGCTTCGGCACATAAAGAGCAATACTTGACCTCTTTCTCAGAGCAAAGGTGGTACGGGCTTGGTTAGGAAATAGGCAGCTGTACTCACTGGCTGTGTTGCATATTGCCACGCACTTTAAAGTAAAATTATGTTCTTTGTTCCATGACAGCTTTAGGTAGAAATGAGGCAAGACAACTTGCTAACAGTAACTTCTTTGCTTGGTGGCAAGCAAAGCTTTGTGAGCACAGAGAGAAGAGAGGAAAGAAGGAGCAGGTTACTCTTATATTACTAGCACCCTCCATTCACCAGAAATCGTCATGTCCATTATTTTAGCCATGTATCCACAGAACTGTAGAGATGTTTTTTTATGTTGCACCATGCTGCAAATCATTTGGTTTCTCTTTTAAGCTTGTTGAAAATCTACTCTAATTCTGGAACAAGACAAGATGAGAGACTTTCCTCAGAGCAAAAATGGGATTTTG